GTTTTTATTTTTAAGTGAAAAATGGAAAAGTTAAAAAATAAAAATATTCGAATAAGCTCCGAACATTATAACACTTCTTCTGCGTGAAAAACGAGATAGCTACAGTGTTAGGGACTTAATTGTTAGGAAGAAATAAGTTCCCGCGAAATAAGTTCCCCAAAACAAAGCGCACTAAAAAAACAGTGGATTCATTTCTGCATGGACTCGTAGAAACCGTGTCCTTCATTCAAACCCCAAAAGTCTTAATCAGTATTGGGAAAATGGCAGAGCAGTCGCCCATTTAAAAGCTCAGTAGGGGTAATCATGAAGGTTTAGGGGCAATTTGTAGCCGTTCATGTGTACAAGGTAAAACCACTTATAACCCACAATCCCACTGTTTCTTTTATTGAAATGCAGCTTCTTTCCCACTCTAACCATTAAACCAGACCTCGCCAACTTTAATGGAGCAACATCCTCGTGGAGTTGATAGGATCAGTTCTATCCCTTCTGTCCTCCTCCATCGCATTCTCTGTCTCTTACCCATAAGAGAAGCAGCAAGAACCTCAATCCTCTCTCGCCAATGGAGGTACATTTGGACCTTCATTCCCACATTGAACTTTGTCAATGATAGCAAGAGTAAGAAAAAGAGAAAAAAAAACCCTCTGTATAACTGTAATTGGGGTCAGATAATTGACAAAGTCCTTTTGCTCCATAATGGACCTATTTTCGGATTTCATCTGCAAAACACCCTAGAAATCAACATTGATGATATCGATCAATGGGTGGTTTTTATAACAAAACGAGGCTTACAACAACTCACCATTCATTGTTCTTGTTCTGGGGCGCCATATAAGTTGCATTCCTCCCTGTTTTTGTGCAGCTCGTTAGTTTGCCTGAAGTTGGTTTTATGCGAGTTCCAAATCCCGATTGGATTTGTGGGTTTTTGCTCTCTCAAGTACATGTCTTTAAAACATGTTTATGTAAGTGATGAAGCCCTTGAATCTGTAGTTTCCAAGAGTCCATTTTTGAAGCAATTAGTACTAGAAAAATGCCGCGGGTTGTCGTTCATCAATGTTAATGCTCCTGAACTTCTCTCTTTCCACATCGTTGGTGAATTTCATGACATTAAAATGAACCATAGTCCAAACCTGAAGCATTTAAGAATCTGTTGGGACTATGGGGTTCCTCAAAATTGTATGCTTAACCGTGTTCTGAAGGGTAAAACTAAGTTGCAGTCTCTTTGCTTGGCTGGTGCTTACATTGAGGTAAGTGGTGTGGTGTTTTTGTATTTTCATTGAATGTTATTCTATAATACAATGGTCTGTAACGTGGTGTTTTTGCATTTTCATTGAATGTTGTTCTATAATCCAATGAAAACATTGTCCATTTAGGTCTTATGAAATAATGGATTTTGATGTACTTCGATATGAGCCCACGCTCATTTAATATTCTATTGGGTTTGGCTCTGTTTCCATTACCATCCTTTGTTCTGTAAGATAGAGATATTGAATAATTTTCTTTTGGGTTAGGAAAAAGTTTATACAGGGCCGAGGCTCTAAACAATCAAATTAGAGCCCAACTCAAAAATTTCACTAGAAGAGGTTGTTTTAACGCCCAAATATTCTTAAATTGATTACATCGACATCAAGATACATGGACATTAGAAAAAAAATGGATTTCAAGTTTTGTAAATAGTACTCTTGTAACACATTTTTGGACCATCAATTTTCAAGATTTTCAAGTTTTCATAGATCCGCTTGATTTACACTATTTTTGAATCTTTAAATTTTATAATTAAAGATGAAAATACATTTCAAGGCTATCATAAAGATTTCCTGTATTGAAACCACATTTCTCGACACTATTTAAAGGTGTGCTTTCCTTTGATTGTTTAGAGCCACGCCTCTATACAAAGTGCACCCTTTGGATTAGGAGTCTTGTTATTACCATTGAAATCCTTTTCTGTATTGTTTCAAGTGAAGTGTAGGTGAGGAACTCTGTGTAAGTGTTACTCTTATGGCATTAGTTTATTATATGTGGAATTCTTTTCAGGATTTGTTGGACAGAATGGCCGAGAGATTTCTTACCACTTATGACTATCTCAAGGTGTTGAATTTATCTGTTGAATCACTTTGTATTGACACCATCAAGGAAATTTCTTTTTTGCTAAGAAGCTCTCCTTATTTGGAGGCTCTCCAACTTAAGGTGTGCTGCTGATATGATCCGTTTTTGTTTTCCTTTTACGATAAGTGTATGGTGTGTTGATGTTAAAGTTTTGACCCCAAGTGATCTGGTTTTCAATTTCTACTTTTCTTCTTTTGCAGATTAGTAATGACCCAGTTATGGAATGTGAAGAGAGTCGTATCTTGGAGATTGATGTTGACATGGAAGCTAAATATGAAATCAGAGGATTTCTTTGGAAGACTTTGGAATGTGATTCCATTACTTGTCTTGGTTGCCTTAGAAGAGTTGAGATACAATCACCGTTCACATATATGGAGGATATGGAAATAGTTGCATTCTTGCTACAACATGCTGAAGTACTAAATGTATTGCATATCAAGATTTCAGAATGCGAGAATAAAGATCGACAGTTGAGGATAGTGAAGCGGTTGGCCTCCTTTCCTAGGGCTTCTCCTCATGCCAAGCTCTTTTTTAAGTAAGAATGTAAGTTCTGGCACCTATAGTTTGGAGCAACTGTGTCATTTTGATAACATGGATTAGGGATACCTTAAAAGACTACTATGGAGATGACATAAGAGTCTTCCTTTTGCATTTAAAATACCTTTTAGTCTTGAATGATATGTTTTTTGTTATTCGCTACATTAGAAAGAGATATGCTTGAGTTTTATGATACATGTGATGATATTTATTTTTTTTTGATAATGTTAACTAATACGTGATGATATTTGGACTTTAAAACCCTATAATGCTAACTGTTTGACATTAGTTCATGGGCTCTCTTGATTCCTATAATATCTAACTACCCATCATTGTGAGTGGTTATTGACTAATGTTAATTGGTCAATGAAATGGTAAATTCACTAAAAAAATTAAATTAGAGAAAATATGAGGGAGAGTGAGTTGAGAGAATTGATGTCTCTTTCACTGGGCTTCTAACAAACTTGTTTGAATTAGGGGAAAGCATGCTACCATATAGATAGGCATAGAAATTATTGTCATGACTAATGATTGTTTGTCACCATCCAATCTGTAGATGGATGATGATGGGCCAGAGAATCCAAGTATTATTTTGTTGTTGATAAGCACTAACAACTTATGAGTACAGATTTTCAATGGCACATGCAACTACAGATTTACCTCAAATTATGATCCGCCTGTTTCTCCCCAGACCTCAAAAAGAAATTCAAACAATATTGAATATACAATGAGTTGTGTGATTGTAGTTCAAGACAGGAAAGAAAGAAATGAAGACACGCCAATATCTTCTACCTATCCTGAAAGCTTTTAAAATCTAAAAAAGATTCATCTTTACAGTTGTAGATGTATTTGGAAGGAACCTGATCGCATACTTCATCTTCCATCTTCTCCAAAATAAACATTTGGAGTCGTAGAAACTGCTCCACTGTTCATTTGGGAAAGAATATTGTGATAGATGAATCTTTCTGACACTATGATTCATGGCATGCTACACTGTCCATGCTCAGCAACATATGCTGTAAATGTGCCATTTTTAACTTATTCTTTAATGACCCTTCAAATAAAAACTGCTTACCTTTGTATTCCAATACATAGTATTGGCAGTGAAGATGATTTGTGGCATAAAATTGTCATTAACTAACTATTGTTGAAGAAAAGCAATGCCTAATTCTATTACTTTCCTTATTTGGATGTACCGCTGAGTTGCTCGGGAAACAATGGCTTATCCCTTTACCTTTGTACCTGCCCTCTTTCATGGTAGAGGAATGGAAACCTCTCTATCTCTCACTCACATATTCTTTTTTGATCATGGAGGCACTTTGAACATATTGATTCCTTTTTCCCCACAAGAGAGACAGGTAGAGAGCTTCAGGGCTAGTCCTTGAACAAAGCACATTTGGTGCCTCTCTGGCCCCTAAGAGAAATGAGCACATTCAGGCAGAGTTACTTTTTCTGTGCTTAGAGAAGAGAGGCCAATTTCATTTCTCTCTCAGCAATTGAGAAGCCTTCCAGCTTCTGTCTTTGTAGATCTTCAGCTCATATGATCAGTTATCGACCCAAAGGTTTTCTCAATCACATTCTCTCCCTCTGTCTTGCTCGTCTACCTGAAAAGTGAGGTGTATTTGGCTTCTATTCCCGTCTTAAAACTTTGAGTAGAGGGTGCAGTTGGCATACGGATGCATCCGTAGCTGTAGAGGTAAGATGCACGTTCAAATTTTATCATGGTACATAATTTTGTGTAAAATGTTCTTAGGATTATCTCAAAATCTATTTTTGTATCATATGAAAATCTTGAAAATTGATAGTGTAGATAATATGTTGTAAAATGCGCTATTTCTGAGACTTAAAATCTTTTTATTTTTCATAGTCATATATCTCAATGTCGAGATGATCAATCAAAGGTTTTTCAACATTAAAACTACCTTTTCCCATGGATTTTTGAAGTGCATATGTAGTTCTACATTATAAGGTTGCATCCTTGCATAAAACTTTTCCTTGAGTAGATACCTTTCCCAATACCAAGAGCGAGAAAACCATAGCTTGTAGGTTTACCTGGTGTCTTATAATCCCTCTTCTTTGGATTTCACTTTCAAGAAACCTTAGGCTAGAATTTCTTTATTCTGATCTATGGTTCTTCTTTTAACAAGGAAAGGCCACAAGGAATTGTATATTAAATTATTAATTGCTTGCATTCATTTGAGAGACAATACAAATTGTTGCCCTCTTCTCTGTTTTCTTGCACCTGCTTCTCATTCTTGACTTCGGTCAATGGAAATTATTTCTTCCATTGGCTTTTGACAGGATTTGCACTAAGTTTGGGGAAAGTTTTGGGGCGGCTGGGCAGGCCTGGGCCCTAAGCCACCCTGAATTAGAATTTGCTGACCAGATTCGATGCATTCCCATACGTGCGATTTATTTTTTTTGAATTAATTCTCCTGGGTTTCTGTTGATTTCGGATTGGCGTGGTGGGTGGGTGATCGAAAGTCCAATTCTGAGTTTTAAACCGCTGCATCGCCGAACATCATTCTACTCTACAGTTTAATGATCCAGTGGTTAAAAGTTAAAATTTGACTCAGAATCGCCTACCCCAAATCAAAATCAGCAGCTGGATAATTTTGGTTTGAGGAACCGAGAATTGTGCCAATTCCCCATGTTTTTTCAATTTTTTTGTTTTATGACGTATTTGTGCGATCCGACAAATCCGAGAAATTTGTCCGATCGGAAAAATTCCCTATATTTGCATTGCCTGAACCTAAAAATCCAAATAGGACCCTTAGGATTCGCGATCCCTTTCTTAATTTTAAATCACGGGGTGTGATTTCATATTTGTTCTCCCTACAACATAGTGTAGAAGTTCTATCCTCTCCGTACCATCCAACCGTCAATTTTTTATCAAGAGAGCCACTCATCGTTTGATCTTAGATCTGAAGTCTAGAAGTATTTTGTTTTAGTTTTTTTAATACAAATTTTTTGAATATGAAATTTGGTATGTGCCATCTTCTCATTGGGGCGTACTTATAAAAACAGATTAACAATAATTTTTTGATAAAAAATAATGACCAAAATACCCCTTAAAATTTTTAGGGGTATATTGGTCATTTTATATTTATGAAAATATTGTTTTTATATTTTTTATTAGTGCAAGTTTAATAGATGAATGGACGTGGTATCAAAATAGTTTATGGGAAAAAAAATTAAAAATAAAATTGTGTAGAGAAATGACATTGTGATTGGGGTAATCTTAGCCCTCCATTAAAAAATGGATGGTTGGATAAAAGGAGGATAGAACTTTTATGTTGTAGAAAAACCTAAAAAGCTTTCCCGGGGAACCTAGAAAACTTTCCCTTTGTTTTTTACACGTTTACAAATGCCAAAATATTTTCTACACCTATAATAGTATACTATCCATAATTTATACCAGAAATATATTTTAGATCCCAAATTTTGAGATGTGAACTCTCTTAAAGACTTGACTTTCACTCTCCATGTGCTTGGAAAAGTTGGCTTCCCAAGATTGTATTGGAACTATTCAATTTTTAGAGAGAATAATCTAGATGTTCGAAAACTCAAAATCCAAAATTTTTTCCTTTGAAAATAATCTAGTTATAATTAATATGTATCTTGAAATGTCAGAAAAAAAAATAAAATCCCAATTGTTTTGCCTGAGGGAGTAATATGTAATATGCCCCCAAAGGAGTAATTTGTTGTATGCCCCCCAAGGAGCATAGTAGGAAGATGTCTAGGTTTTCTATTTATTATGAGGATGTCATAAGTATTTTTAGCAGTCAAATAATTAAATGTGGCTTGGAATTTATTATGAGGATGTCATAAGTATTTTTAGCAGTCAAATAATTAAATGTGGCTTGGAATGTGTTATAAAGTTCAATAAGGTTTTTTTGAACTTTGAACCTAATAAATGACGCCTTTAGAATAACCCAATTTAAAATACGACAATCATACATTTATGATCATCCAATTTCAAATAAAAAAAGCACACATTTATGATCATCCAATTTCAAATAATGATGGATAAAAATGATCGTGATCTCCTTATCTTACAAATAAAGGAGAAAACTTATAGAAAGGTGAGGCCTTAAATAATTAAATTAAGATGTACCTGGACAAAGCTTATAGAAGGGTGAGGCCCTAACTAATTAAATTAGAATGTACCTCAAAAATTCACTAGAAGTTGTTTGCATGCTAAAATATCCTCAAATGATCATCTTGATCTCAACATGTCCGACATGAGAAAAAAATAGATTTTAAGTATTGGGAATTGTATATCTTGTAATGCATTTTGTAGATCGTCAATTTTCAAGACTATCAAGTGTTTATATATTTGCCGAATCTATACTATTTTTTAAGCTTTACATTTTACAATTAGATATGAAAATAAAATATCTAACCATCACAAAGATTTCAAGTATTGAAATGATATCTTTCGACACTTTTAAAAGTACGTCTTACTTTGATTTTTTAGGGTCTCGGCCTTATTGAAACCAAACCCATTGTATACTTTTTTTAGGGTCTCGGCCTTCTTGAAACCAAACCCATTGTATACTTTTTGGATGGAAGGATAAACTACAAAAGACGCGCCATTTTCACAAGGGCCCGGTTTCCATGGGCCGTCAAGCCTGCATATGTAAAAATATGAGCTTATTAATAAATCTAGTTTTGAGATAGATTTTAAGACTTAATTTTTAAGGACATGTAATCTCTACCATGGAGATGATGAATATGAAAAAATAAATAAATTTTAAAAATTAAAAATAATAATTCTAACAAGAAAACATTTGAACCGTTAGTTTCCATTGTTTTTAGATAGAACACTTACTTGCATCCACCTTAAACAACCATCTTTAAGATGGATGCTTTACACTTTCAGGAAAATGCTGTTCTGCCCATTTCACAATATTGACAAAACCTTTTGGACTTGAAATGACACAGGCCCCCGACTGCTAGAGATGATTAAGATGCTGAGTAATGATAGTGTACCCAACCA